ATCGATATTTCCTCGATATTGGAATGAATCACAAATACAATCAGGTTTAGCTGAAGGTCAAGTAATTTTAGTAAGTCTTTACTCCCTCTTTTCATTGAATTTTATTTGCTCTAATTTCTTCCTAAAATTAAATATTTACTAATTTCAGGCCCATATACGAATCAATCCCAAGAAGTTCACAGATGCCTACAGCAGCCATCCGGTAGTAAAATTGCCACTTATTATTTTGTTCACTTTAATTCCTTTAGAAAGGTGATGCGGATATTTTTATACCCGGCACGAGGGCTCGTAATCGATGTTTAAATGGTGATCTCGCATATATCAAAATTGAGCCTCTCGTTAAGTGGAGGGTCTACGACTCTTTTTTAACGAAAAAGGTCGAAGAATGGGCTTCCGAGCACCATGATCGTACTAATTCTAATTGTCCTTACGTATCTCTCGGTGATTTCATTCACCATGATCCTGAGGGTTTCTCAGAGGTATGCTCCTCTTGCTTCCTTAATTAACGATTAACCCCCCCCCCCCTCCTCCTTTTAGCTTTTCAAAGACTACAGAAGGGTGATTTCGAAGAACCTTGATAGTTTTAGGGACCCTCCAATTCCGGAGGACTTTTTGAATAATTTATCCTGGTGGCAGATATTTCAACGCGTGGGAAAGGTTGTGGGGATGGCAAAGCAGTTGAACCCTCGTATTGGAATGGGTTATCTACGTCCGCAGTTCGTTACAATGTCTAAGTCGAAGGAGAGTAGTCAGGGATCTGAAGAATTACAGACTCCAGACACAGAAACTAAAGCCACTTCCACACATTGGAATAGTGCTCTTTTTATTCCAATAGACCCTAGGATGCCCCGAGTTTTCATTCCAAAATCAAATTGCCCACCAGGTGAGCATTTATCACCTTTTAATTGGAGCTAAGATCACTAATATTTTGAATTTGAGTTACAAATATGTAGTCTGAAGCTTTTTTGATTACATTGAGAGATGGTTTTATTTCACTCTGCTAATATCGAAATAAGTTTTTATTTCCATTGATTTAAGCAATTGGACCGGTTCCCAATAAGTGATTGAACTGTGCAATCAAATAATTTTCTGGTTTTTATTTAAAATTAATTCAGGTGAGCTTTCTGCTACTCTGTTAGTTTGGATGACTTATTATTAGTTGGATATTTAGCTTAACCTACTTCTCGTTTTGTTTCAAGTTAAATCCGTTGTGGGAGACCACACCAGTACTGTACAAATTACGTACATGCTTGTTGATGTTCGTATTTCTGCACGCCTGGTAATGTGAATGCCTAACCGTATTGGTTGTTTCTGATTAACATTAGGCTTCGTTTAGTGCTATATTTAATGATGCGTCACCATGATAACTTCTCTATCTATGCTAAGTGATGCTAACATTTGTCTAATTGGCTTCCGCACTTTCCATGTGTGTACTAGTGAGTGTTGTCACTCACTTCTAATCTGACATTTGAACTTAAGAAATAATATGCTTAGTTTAATGTTCATTAGGTGTGTTGTCTAGACCATCGTTCCTTAATGGCGGCGTTTGCATCAGTTAATTGATGGTTCATTAGAGGTTCACTGAAAGGCATTCAGACTTCATTCACTTACTACCGATGTTTTACTGTAGCGGTATTGAAATACGTCAAAATACCTGAATGATTAGAATTCCTATCATTGGTGATTACCATTTACAATCATAATCGGCAATTTCGCTCAACCGATTGAATTCATATTTTCAGATGCGTAGCTCATAGTCAAAGTACAATTCTGAAATTACGGGTCAATTCCTTTGCATGCTCATCTTCATTACTTAAGGCTGATACATTTTTTAATAATCGCTAGATCGAATGAATTTTTAGGAATGTGGCAAGCAAAGTTAGTTTGTTATCAGACGTTCGTAATCACTTTACGCCTGTTTTCTATGATAGGACGTTAAACATTGAATGTGAATTGCCTTTTTTCACATGATATCTTGATTATCTTGCAAAAAATTAAAATTCATTATGCGGCACACTTGGAAAAAATCTCTGGCACCAAGGCCTTTGTCTGTGCTCTAATGACTAGTTGTTTTAGATGGGTTTATGTCCCTTGACCCCGATCTATACTATAGGTAAAATCCCTGTGGTAATGTATGTATTTTGAATAAAGTTAAAAGTCGAACAGATATGCGCTGAAATTAGAGTTCTGGTGTTTTGTAAAATATAATTACTATCTTTATTCTTCAGTAGAGTAAAAGTACAGGTACTAATTATGTTGAGAGCATATGAGCACAAAATTAACAGTACCATTCCAAGCTATGTCTAAGACATTTATTTTTAAGAGTTGCTCATACGTAATAAGTTCTCTTGTTACCTAGTAAAGAGCGGTTCGTTAAATTACTATGGGGTTTGAATTTATTTCAAATGTGAGACTTTATGATAGTTATCATTATGATAGTTTGCATAAAATCTCTCACTAAATATTAATAAATTGCATCCAAAGATATTTTTATTTACATCAATGAGCAGGCTTTACGATGGTCACCACTAGCCCTTTAGTTGACTTCGGGCTTCGTAACGGGGAGGAACATCAAAGTCACCAAAGGTCGAGAGGGTAAACAGAAGAGTGATTCATAGATGTAAGAGGACAGACACAAAGGTAGAGAAAAAGTTAAGGTGAGGTGAGTATTGTGGAAGTGGTCGAATATGACGTAGAGTCGGGTTATTATAGTTTGAAGTGAGAAGCCAATTGCCGGTTTATAGACTTTTCGCTGTATAAATGTTGCCCGGGAAAATTGAATTTTGGTTTGGAATGTGGCAAACCAAGTCGCATTCTGTCATATTTGCGCTCTCTGCAATACTGACTGCTAATTTTCTGGGCTTCCACTTGTAGAGGAAACTTTTTTAAGAGCCATTGTTTGCCTTTCTAGCCTCTTTGATTTTTCATTTAGCGCGAAAGCAAATGAAAATAATAAAACGGTTCTCTTTTCAAACAAATTATAGTAGTCATGCTTGTCATTTCAATGGTCAAGGGTTCAACTCCCATTGTCACACATCTATTAGGCGGAATGACCAACCACAGCGATTAAATTTGTCAAGTTTGGATGGTGGTAGAATTCGAGTCTTTCAGTCTCCAATATTAGCATTGGGAAAGGCTTTCTTTAATGGGCTTGGGAACTGTTATCACTAGTTAGCCCTTTAACGCCTGAATTATTTTTTTTGTGTTCGAAAAAATTTCCCTCACCGTTTTCCCTTCTGTTACGAGTCTACTACCAACGAAGCTTATTTTGAAAGAGGACCGTACGGTCGTGCAGGGCGTTGAAATGTGAAGGGATAATATTTATGACCATATTGATTTTCTGCGTATAATTCCATATGAAGGCACTTTCAAGGGAGTTCTCTTCTCTTTTTTTAGGTTTTTTTTCAAATCTGGCATGAGATAAAAAGCATTTTGCAGTAATACATATAGTTTATCCTACCTTTCCTTTTATGATTTCTGCAACCAGCATGGAAAAAGGAAATTGTGCATAGTTACTCTATATATATGATCCTTTATTATTTTTAGATTTTGTTCGACAACCGGAGACTTTTAAGTTTGTTCGCTTCGTCGCTGTAATTTCACATTGGCCTGAAGATAGTGTATTTGCTAAGGGGTAAGCGTGATGGTCCTATGTTAATTCATATTTCCCTTCTCTTCTTCAACTTAAATAAACCGGTTTTTTAGCAATTTGATACGCCAATTTGATGAAGCATCGCATTCCTTCATCGCCTACGAAACCGAACGAATACTTGTGAACGCAGGCTTTGCGTACGGCCTAAATCAGTGCATGCGCTTCCCTGACCATGTTGAATCTCATGTCACAAAACAACTCATTCCCAGTATTACCCCCGAGGTTCTCCGCAAAGAGATCTCCTATCGTCGGGATTTCCGTTCTGAATGTGTTTTCACTATCGATCCACGTACAGCAAGAGATCTAGATGATGCCCTTCACATTAAATGCCTTTCTCAAGAGGACATTAGAAGAGAAGCTGATTTGGGTTTCACAGATGTGGCCTATGAAGTTGGCGTCCATATTGCAGATGTTAGCTACTATGTCAGACCAGGAGATCCCGTGGATTGTGAGGCTGAAAATAGGGCTACTTCTATTTACCTTATTCAACTCTGTGTTCCCATGTTACCTCGTCAACTCTGTGAAGATCTGTGTAGCCTTCATCCTGGATCTGATAAGCTCACTTTTTCCGTGGTGTTTAGGCTTACTTCTGATGGACATGTAATTCCTTAGATTAAAAAAGAAAAGTGGTTGATTGGTTCCTTTCAAATATGCCTCTATTTTTTGTAGATTGTTTCAAAGTGGATAGGGAGAGCAGTAATTAATTCTCGAGCTAAATTGAGTTATGAAGACGCTCAGGCATTTATTGATGAGCCGGAGAGAGATTGGAAGGCCAGTGACCTCAAGGATCTTAAAAGTGATACTGATGTCAATGAGATCTGCCGGTGTGTCAATATGCTGAATGAGGTAATTTTTGTGGAACCACGTGTAGTGTTTTACTCTAACGCTACTATTGCTTGATTGGATTTCAAATTTGGAGTTTTTAACGGTTCTCCTCTTCTTTCATCAAACGTTGATTAACGTTAATTAATGTTTGAGATAGATAAGTATGCTTTTCTTACTAATCTATTGGGAATTTGATGTGCATAATCGGAGAAAATATTTTATTGTCACAGTTTTAATAATTTAAACAGATCTAGATTGTTTCTCCAAAAATTTTACCATGACGTTCTTTCCCTAATTGAAAGGTCGTGATTAACATTGCGCGTGACAAAATGATCCTTATAATCTGAATTAGTTAGTCTGCCTACGCCATTTAATAAGAAAATTTTAAAATTTTTTATACCTGGGTCTTTGTTTATTCGATTCATTTTGTAAGTAATTCCACTTTGAATTTGATCTGTCTGCTTCTAGTGGAAAATTTTGCGTCTTTGGAATGGACTGTAGGATCTATGCCAATGTTTCTATGCTTATGTTCCTAATTGCTACCCGGGCCGATTTGACGCCTTTGTCGTTTCTCTAGTTGGCAGTGAAGATTCGAAGCCGAAGATTCCATGGGGGTGCTCTTCAACTGAATCAAGTGAAGCCGACCTTCACCCTCTCCGAGGAGACTGGAGAACCCATAGGCCTGGCCCCTTTCATTGTCCGACCAGCCAATCGGTTGGTTGAGGAGTGGATGTTAGCTGCCAACGAGGCAGTCGCGGTTCTTCTCTCAAAAAATCTCCCTCGCACCGCCTTACTGCGTCGGCATCCACCACCAACCGTTAAACAACTTAAGGAGGCCAGGACAATATTGGATTTCTGTGGTATTGATGTGGACGTTTCTTCCGCGCGCTCGATTCAGGTGGGGTTTTTGCCTGCTCTATTTATTGAGTTGTTTCGTAAAAATTTTACGTTTATCGGTTTAATGTAAAGTCTTGTATACCAAAAGTTGACGGTTTAATTCCAATTGCGTGGATGTGAAATGTTATGAAATAAGTGAAATTTTTTGGACTTTTTCAAATATGGTCATGTATCATTTCACTCCTTTTAAATTCTACGGCTTTAAATTTCTTTGAATTTGCCTGAATTTATTGTATATTTGCTAATTGAGAGGTTGTGATTGCCCTGTTCGACAATGTTCGATGGTAAAACACTCCATAATTCATTCTCCTTGCTAAAATTGGGTATCTGAAAACGCTTTCCTTTCTCTAGTAGTTCTGTTTTGCAGTGATCAACTTGCGAGTTTACTACATCAGAGCCTACGAAATCGTTGCGCATCCTGCGTCATTGATGGTCTTCCATTTTCAGTTTACTCTTATCAACAGGATGGGTGTGTTTCGCTGGGAATCCTTCTCCCAATTTATTTAGTGAAGTATCGGTAAATTGGATAACGGCGCGCAATAGCGCAAACTTCTTTTCGAAATCTCTCCTGATTTAGCGTTACTCATTAAAATCTTTTCGTTTCATCATGTTTTGCGTATTTTTCGCTAAATATTTGGGCCAAGGTTGCATTGACACGTGAGATCTGTGGGAGGCAATGTTTAAATTCCTTTTAACGTGTTAAACTTATATCTAACCTTGGATGGAAGTAATTGACATGAAAAAAAGCAATAGACTAATAAAATTTATGAAAATACTCCTCTTATTTGATTTTGTTTTCTCTCTGTTTTTTTAGCGTTCTCATTATTAATCATCTTATTTTTGTTGTCTACTCATTTGATTTGGTGTATTGCCGACAACAGCTAGAATGAAATTCTCTCAGGTAAATCTTCTAAAAAGCTCTAAATTCGAAGTCCACTTCTGCAAATGTAGATTAGGTTTCCCTCCTACTGATATGAATTTGTTGAACAAAACAGTCCTCTTAAACAGTTCTTTAAGAGTTGGCTAACATGAATTTAAGTACTATTGTGTTTGTTGTGCTAAGATCGTTATGTGGACCACCTACACAAATTAGACTTCACGTTTGAATAATATTTTTCATTCTGCATACTGAGGCATGAAAATGTTCAACTAGCTCTAGGACCTTAGTTCCGAGCAAATGAGTTGTCAACCTCGATGCATGAATAGCGTCTATCAGCACAGTAACTGTTTCGGATTGTCCGCTTAACTAATTTTTTGTCCGAATGGTTACCTTGTATCATACCTTTTAGTGTGATCACGAAAGGTTCATCAATTCAAGATACCTACAAGTTGCGCTCTAGTTGAAACTGCGGATTATTGGTTAACGTCGTGGTTGATGTCTTGAAATTTCTTAGTCCCCGTCTTTGTTGACTGTTGATTTATTTCTTTTCTACAGTTACCATTAGTAAACGTGCCATATTTTTAAAAAATAATTTTAATGGGCAATTATGAAGTAGCTAGTCTACCTTCTTTTTCTACTCCTTCAGGACTCGCTGAATAAGTTGGCGGGTTCTCCGGAGGGAATAATATGGCAGCATTCGGACGATTTGGCTAGCCTCTGTGCTTCAATGATGGGCTGCTCTGTTGATCCAAATTTGACCCCAAGTAAATGTACTTCCTCTTCACAAAAAGCCGAGTTGGAACAAAGCCGTAATCTCAGTAAAGAATCTCATTTACTGGCTACTCTCAACGTTCTCACTAAATGTATGAATCTCGCCGAGTACTTCTGTCTTGGACAGCCAAATGGTATTGATGATAATGGCAATAGCAGATACAGTTCTTTTCTGGGACACTATGCTCTCAACATTTCCCACTATACTCACTTCACATCACCCATTAGAAGATATGCTGATCTGATTGTTCATCGACAACTTGCACAAATCCTTGCCACCAAGGCTTCGATGAGTAAGCGCGATTTTGCTTTGGGATGAAAATTCTTTATCCACGGAGGGATGTTTAATTAACTAAATTACCGGCATTAATGTATCCCAAGTTAGAGGTTGGGAGAGAGGCTTTTATTCACTAGCTCTGTAGGTATAGATGACGCCATGGCTTTTTAAAAGCCCGACATTATAATTAGGATATTTGGTACGTTTTCGCGTCAGTTTCATATCGATACCCGTACACTTCTTCGTTAAAGAAGGGTACAAGTTATTAAATTTACCTTTTTTTCTTGAAATGACTAGAATTTAGTTTTATAGATTTAAAGGGATGCCGAGATTTCTATTTATGAACTCATTATGCATATCATTAGTAGTTGTTACTTCTATCTTTTCATTTCAGTGAATTTAGATGAGGTAGCATCAAGTTACCGCGCAACCTCAAAATCTAAATTCCTCCATAAACCGGATAACCTTGCTAGGATTGCCGATGTCTGCAACGCACGCAAATTAAACAGTCGTAAGGCCAGCGAAGACTCTGTAGAACTCTTTTTCACCGTCTTTGTGAAGGACTGCGGCCCTCTGGTTGAAGCCTGCTCTGTTATCAATATACTTGATAGGGCCTTCGACGTACTCATTCTCTCCACGGGTCTTGTTCGACGTGTCTACCTCAATAAACTTGATCTAGTCGGATGGGAATATGAAAAGTTGGAGGGAAGTGGGAAAAAGGGAATAACGGGAGTAGGAGTTCTTCATCTTCAGTGGAAAGTTCATCCATTGGAATCCAGTGAGAAGAATGGAGAGAAAGAGGAGTCTTCTTTCGATGTGCCCACAGATCCAGCTATCCTGGAGTCGGTAGTTGCACCACCCTGCAATTGTTTCCAACAAGAAATTCACTTGTTTGATCTTGTGCGCTGCTCAGTCAGTATAGAGGGTCTGAACAAGTTAGAGGATGGAACTCCTGTAGTTGCAGTTAGCAACAACGATGCTGATACTTTGAATAGTTCCAAGCTGGATGAATCGTCATCCACCCTGGAAACTTCACTTTCTAAGCCCCAGCAAAGTGGCGGAGAAATTAGCGATCAAACTCTGAACTTACGGGTTAGTTGATTTTAACACTTATAGTTTCCTCATATGTCGATTTTGTTTTTGGGGGGGTATTGCGTAATCACCGCTCTTTTGGTTGCGCAATGTTGCTGGTTGCATTTATTCCAATACGCGTATAGTTGGAACTAGTGCCTCATACAAGTCAACAGCCTAAGGTCATCGATTTGTTGTGTGTTTTGATTCCGGGTTCTACTAATGGTTAGTTGAGTGGCGATAGTGTAAACTTTGCAATATATTTTCTTTTCTATCAATTACAAAGTACCACAAACAAGGAAGTTGTGCATCCTGTTGTCGAATGGACCTATTATTCAGGTGATAACTGGTGTATAATCAAGCGAAGGTGGAATGTGGAAGGGAGTTTTGAAGGAGAAGCAATTTAGATGTCATTTAGAGCATCGACAACAAGTTTGGTCGGTTGACTACATCATTGAAGTATTCTTTTTTTATTTAACTTTAATTCATATTTTAATTCGTAGCCGTTAACGGTAAGTGTTTTATTGTTTTTAAATATGCTATTTCTTTCGCTCTATTCGTCATACAGTTGCTATCTAATTTAATTGAATTGTTATTTTGCCGCTTTTTACGTTTTTTTCGACATCACTGTTAACTAGCGTTGGTAAGGCTGTACGTGTGTCCAAATGGAAAGTCAACCGTGTTAGTTGCCTGCAATAAATGTGTTTTGATCACACTGAGATTTCACTATAGTTACGACCGCCTTGTGTGTCATTTACGTGAATAGAGCAACTAATTAGTATTACTTCATCACTCTGGCTCTGATTGACAACATGCCGGCCCATGTAAACTGTTTCTGATTTCTTAATAAAATGTATTACTTGACTTTACTTAGATTAATATTCTCGAGAGAGTTAGTATAACGATTTGATAGAATTTGATGTCATAAATAAGCGTACTTTACCAATTTTTTAATGCTGAATTTTGCAACAAAAATTGTTATCAATTACTCTAAACTTCCATTGTTCTGCTTTAAAAATCCTAGTCTCTTAGAAGACTTCTACAGGTAAGGCGTTAGCCTTTTGTTCTCCCTTCATTTTTTACCGTTTAATTGGTTAAAATATATTTATATAGCTATTAACGTCAGCTCAATTCAGTTTGGTCATTTTGGCTAGATTTTCTCCCATTCACTCCAAGAGCCGTTACTTCAAGTACTGATATTTGTTTTTTTAGGTGATTCTAATTCGACCAACTTGCGAAGTCTGCAAGAACTACACCTAGCTCTACCTCTGGTTATCTTTCCACAATAGGCAGCGCCTAAGGAGCGGATCGATGCGCCTTTTCGTCAAGTCTTTCTTTGTTGCTTCTCCTAGTCCCTTGATAAACTCGTCTAAACCGTTTTCCATTCCTCCCCCCATCTCTTTGTACTCTCTGTCTTTCACTTTACTTACCGTTTGATGTGCTGCAATTCTCTTCTTAGGAACTGTCCTCTAAAACTGGTAAAAATAAACTATTGATAAAAGTAAAGTGACGATATTTACGGCAACTTCCTGGCTTTTGGTGTGTGTTATTATTAGTTTTCTTATCAAGCGAGTGGGATTTATAAAATGACGAGGTCCTGTCGTCGTGTGGATTTACTATCTAATCGATGTTTCACATTGGCCTTTCAGTCGTCGAATGCAGGTTGGGGGAATTGGAAATTTGCGGTTCTTTGTTTTTCGGCAATATATTCTTAACACTGTCAGCTTCAAATCAACTAAAGTATCACCAAGTACAGTAAGCATATTTTTATCCCGTTCATTTATGATCTCATGTTGTGGATTTCCCATTACCTGCGTCTGCTTTGTTTCAGGAATCATTTCGAAATTATGATGCGTATTGGCCGAAGACGTTTATTAATAGGATGCTTAATTCTGACCTTCTTGTTGAGGCATGCAATGCTATATACCTATTAATTATCACTATTTTATGTATATTTTAAATACCACCCTTTTGCAATTATACAGGGTCGAATTTGCTACACCTCCCCTACATCGGCCTTTGTCATAAATCCCTCAGATGGAAATAAGATTTTCATCTATTCGAAGGCTCTAAATAGAGCTCTTCCAAATGATATTGTCGCCGTGAAGCTGAAAAATCCGGGGTCTTGGCGAGTTCGGGCATTTCTTGAAGCATCCGATGATTCCCGATCAAGTAGTCGATTAACAAATACTTCCCCTATCATTCCTGCTGAAGCTGAGGAAGAACTTATTGACGAATCTTCTGAGGAAATCGGGTCTGAATCACTCTCGACCCTTAGTTTCCCTTCGTTTCAGCTAAGTTTAGAGCGAGGAGGCTCGAGTGTGAATTCCTTCAAAACAATTCCCTTTCCATCAGTTCGTGAAGTTCTGCAGACAACTCCTTCCCTTCTTCCTCGTCTTTTCCCTGGTATGAGTTCATTGTATGCACTAGAGGAGCAGAAACCAATGACTCCCCTTCCTAGTCCACATTTACTCAGAACTGGTAGGGTGGTGGGTGTTTTGAGTGAAGATTCGGCGAGCAGACGACTAGTTGGCCGATTGGTGTTTGAATCGGCTATGGTTATGCCGTCCGCCTTCGCTGAAGCTGAATCGGTGGATGAATTTGCGAGACCTCAGCAGGGTGTTGTCGAAGGAAGTGATGGACTCCCGATTTCAGTGCCGGCTGTGAACTGCTTTTTTGTTCCCGAAAAGCCTAACTTCCCAAGGATTAAGGTCTTGCCTTCCTCGGTTCCAAATGGTTGGTGTCCATTTTTTTGTTATATTATTTGTTTACGCATGATCCAGGGCTCATTGAAGCCATGTGGTTAAAGACTTCTGAATGTCAAAATATCTACTACAAGTGCAATCTTTTGAATTAAAGGTGTTATTTTGGCCTTGATAACCTGTGTTTAGTACTTTTTGTGCTAATTGAGATATGCACTATATAAAGATGTTAGTCGAGACGTGGGGGTGGGGGTAGGGCTAAAGTATGAATCCCAGATCTGATAAATGACGTTTTGCAGTGTACCTCAGGTTAAAACTTGGGAGAGTATTTCATTTCGTCTTACTGAGAAGGTCAAGAATAATACTGTATGTCAAGGGTCCGTTTCCTACACTAACTATATAGTTATTAATTAAGGATGAAAATGTATCTAGGACATTATTCGAGGTCTATATTTGTGAAGGGTTATAAATCGCCATCAGAAAAATTTCTCATCCTTTTGATAAATCGGAATGTATTTAATTAGTCTCACTTCAATTGTTTTTTAATCAGCTCTATTTATTGTAAGTCTTGGCCTACTAGAATCTATTGGAATGTTTGAGACATTGTTATCTCGTCTAAATGTCTATCTCATTCTTGAGATGTTTGTCCTTCAACAGATCTTTGGGAAAATCCGCACAAAGCTGAGGGTGTTAGATATATCTGCAAGATTGAAGACTGGCCAGCTTTTTCTTCTTGTCCCAAAGGGTAATGCATTATTAATTTATCGTTTAATGAATTATTTCCACTTAGATCTCTATGTGGTCACATTGGCAATCTTCATGAGATCGAACCAGCTACCCAGGAGATTCTCTTATCTCATGGTATCCATGAGGATGATTTCACGGAGGAGGTAAAGTATCGTAGTAATTATATCTCCTTTAGAAGTTGTGTTGGTATGAACTTCCCTCAACTCGCTTGTAGATGTTGAAAGACTTACCGGTGTCAGAAGAGGATTTCAAGATCCCCAACTATGAGTATCTAAGGCGAAAGGACTTCCGATCACACTGTGTGGTATCTATAGACCCCTCCACGGCGAAGGACATGGATGATGCACTCCACGTAAGGATGTGCACAAAAGGTAATGCTTTGTTTTATGGTAATGTTCTCGATAACTCATTTTAATAAAATGTAGAACTTCTCGCAATTCGATTCACCGATGTGTAACCTTAAACACTTATCGTGCTCACCTGTGTTCAATTCTAATCTATTTGTGCGTTCGGTTTGGATTCTGAAGTTTAACTTCGACTGCAAGGGTTAAAAGGGCAATATAAGCTCATCTTAGCCACCTCTTTTTATTAATCTTGTCAACCCAGATTTGGTGAGCTTACAATCCACTAACGATCTTCATTCTCTTATTTTCTTCGAAATTGGACTAGATGTAGTAGCGGTTGATAGCATACCAGACTGAAAGTAGTGTTCCATTTTTTTGAAAGGAGTAAGGTGATTGGATATCGATATCTGTTTCTTCAGTTCTGTTGCAACCCAGTTGTGTGTGGATTAGTCAGAATGAGTTTGTTTATATTCCTTGACTTTTTAGTATTTTATCCCGTTTTGAAATAATTACTATAGAAATATTGCTTAAGCTAGCCCTCAGAGACAAGTGGCAAAAGGAGTACAATTTAATTATGAGTAGAATCAGAATGAAATCTGATATAAATAAGATTGAGATAAATAGTTGTTTCAAGTAAGATCGATCGATTATGGGAAAATTAAGTGTTATGCATATTAAGCGGATGACATTTCGGGCCAACTTTAATCAGGCTGCTGGGGAAGTTAGCGTAAATCTGATTCATTACTGAAAATAGTCTAAATGATTTTAAAATTGAAATAAATTATTATTAAACTCGCTTAGTAAATCAACCGGGGTTTTCCGAAAATCCGCCCAGGGCGGTTAAACGAAAAATTCCATTTCATAGAATTAATTTTTGAAACCAAATAACCCCCTCCCCCCGGAGTTAGAGCCCGCGGGCGCTAATGCGGACGACTGGACTTCCAGAAAACTTCGATAATAAAAATGCCATTGACGTGGCGTCCTTAAATTGAGTTTGCCATGAATCTGCCATTGAAGCTTGAGGAATTGGGGGAGTATGAAAAGGCGATAGTCACACGGTTGGGTGATGTTTAGGCTGATAATTAAGTCTACTATTTAAATCTTAAAGCCACGGTCACTCTCTTCCCATTTGCATTTATTTTCTTTACTGATCGTAGTCGAAATTGCTTCACCTTAAAATAAATTCCTATTAGGACAAGTTCTGAGAGCAGCAATTGACTTGGGTTGAAGCGAAGTGTGTGTTCTCCAACCCCCCTCCCCCTTACTTCTTCCTCCTGATTTTTTAGACACCATCGAAGTTGGTGTACATATTGCCGATGTGTCCTACTTTGTGCGCCCCTTCTCAGCTCTTGACCGCGAAGCTGCAAACCGAACTACCTCCACATATCTAGTCCAAAGGGTATGCACTTCTTGAGTTGTTTCTTAACACCATTTTGAACTTCTATTTTATCATTGTATTGTTGCGTAAAACATTGAATGATTGGTAGATGTTTATTTTAACTTCTTCTTCACCCTTACTTAGACTGTTCTCAGTGTTACCAAGTAACGCATCTTAGCTCTGCTCAGCTAATTTTTATACTCTCTCATACACCTGACCTAGCTGTTATCGAAGTCGCTTAAACACTATTTCCTTACGCAATTGCTTTGTTTACTTAAATTAATTAGGTCATTCCAATGTTGCCAGCGATCCTATCAGAGCGTCTTTGCAGTTTGAATCCTGGTGTCGATCGACTTGCATTTTCTGTTATCTTCAAGGTTGATCGTAATGCAAACGTAAGTCCTATTCTTTTAAAATTGATAACATCTCCTCTGGTTAATTAATATGGTGTACAATATTATTCACAAAAGCGGATACATAGCTTTAGCAGAGATGAAATGGTTTGCTCTACAGCATTCTTAGTAATCAATTCTTTTCGACATAAAGGTTGGGATTCTCACTTTCTTACTTTCAACCATATTTGCCAGTTACAGCTACCGGAACTTTTCACGAGCTTGGGATGAATTGCGCCGTTCGAACAGCAATTTATTTATATCAAATGGCAGGCGTCTTGATGGTTATCATTAGCCCTTTAGTTGACTTCAGGCTTCACAGAGGGGAAGGAACAACAAAGTGAAAAAAGTCGAGAGGGGGGGGGGGGAACAGAAGAGTGTTTCAAAGATGTAAGAGACAAACACAAAGGTAGAACAAAGGTGAGGCGAGTACTGTGAAAATAGTCGAATATGGCATAGAGTGAGGTGGTGGTAGTTTGAAGTGAGAAGTCAACTGCCAGTCAATAGACTTTTTTGCCGTATGAATATACGTTGCCCAGGGTGCACCACGTAGAGGTAAGTCTATCGCACACCCCTCGAACAGCGATTTCGGTTGAAGTATTCGTCACTTTATTTGATAGTGATTTTTATGAAATATAGTCAAGCGAGAAGGATCTCAAGGTATCGAATGACGGACAGAGTATATTGAATACGAAAATTCCATGAATGTATAATTGTTGATATCCGAGTGCTTGTTTATTTATTTATATCAAATGGCAGGCGTTTTGATAGTTATCATTAGGCATTTAGCTGATTTCGGGCTTCACAGGGAGGAGGAGGAACATCAAAGTGACAAAAAATCGCGAGGGGGAACAGAAAAGTGATTTACAGATGTAAAGGAGACGGACACACGTAGTGAATAAGGTGAGGCGAGTACTGTGGAAGTGGTCGAATATGACTTACAGTGGGGTCATGGTAGTTTGAAGTCAACTGCCGGTTTATAGCTTTTTTTTGCCGTATGAGTATGCGTTACCCAGGGTGCACCACGTGGAGGTGAGTCTATCGCACACCCCATATCTGAATATATGTATGTGCTTCCTTCCGAATTCCCCCCACCCCCTCCTATTGTCATTATCTATAACCTAATTCCTTCTTAGTCCCTATTCCCATTTTCATACTT